GCTAGATTTTGGCATTTAGCAACTGGCATACGGTTTAATGTGAAGTCAACAATTGGCGATTTTGCACCCGTAGAGAGATCCAGTCACCCAAAGGGCCCCATGCGAAGACCATGAGCTAGTTCTCTGTGACCCTCATGCCATGTCCGCAAACTGGCAGATACACATACATTTGCAACTCAACCTCTTGGTTGCAATGTCTACGGGAAAGGCAGCGTTTGCAGACTGCAACATACCCCCGAGGGTGAAATCCACAGCGTGCTGATCAGGTATCACAAAGGAACGCAGGCCCGTACATACGTTATAAGGAAGATATCTCGAACGGTAATACCTCATGGATGCCAACCCCGCCCAAAGTGTCGCCCATGTTGTAGTCAGCCTGCTGTCGCCAGCACCCAAAGCACCCGAAACCCGCCGAAACCCGCCGGAACCCGCCGCGTTTTTGGTGTGGTCGTTCACAACCGTGAACGCGTTTATATGTGTGCAAACTGCGCTGCCCGCTTGTTTTAGGACCTCTCTGGCGCGGAGAGGGGGTCTGGAACTCTCAATATCAGCAGATGGAGTTGGACAAGCACTCAGGCAGAAGCAGGAACCAGCGTGGCTTCCTCTGTTGGTATGGTACAGGAGCACAGGAGTGCACGGGAGGGTCGTCTGGTGACACAGCAACAACGCCGGACATGCGGGGTCTTTCGATATCATGGCATGCGTGATCATTCCGCTCTGCGTGTGCCCTTTGTGTGTGGCGATGCGGCAGCCTTCCTTTCACTTCAGCCCCGGCAAGCCCGTGCTGATCCCCCCCTCCGAGCACCATGGTGAGTAAGGCGCTTCGCACTATAGAGTTGACCAGTGGTTGTTGCTCGCCGAGGCATGTCTGTGGGCATGCGCCTGCTAGAGAGTCTAGGCTGCCTGCCTCTCTGTTGTGTTGGTCGATTTCGGTACTCCACCTTGACCACCACAGGGCCAACAGGCTGAGACGAGAGCACGGAGTGTTCTCTGATGCACGTAACGGGAGCACCCTGTGGACAAGTATTGGCCTGGATCACTTGTGATTCGCGTTGGCGGATATCCCTCCCGTAGCTCTTCTCTGTCGCACTGCTGTTTTCAGATGCTGTCGTAGCCGTCTGCCGACGAGTTTCCGGCCTACCAGTCATTTTAGCCCGACTGTTGTCGTTCGGGGCATCATGCCGTAGCGCCGTCATCATGGATGCAGCAGTCATGACTCCCAAGCCCGAGCCTCGTGCATCAGCAGCGAAGAGTAGACACCGTGTCCAAAAAGCGGCCGGAGCTTGGTGTCATCCGAGCATTCTCTTCATCGTCGTGGAGGATCCGAGCCCTTTGGCAAATGGTCAAGGGGGCGTAGTATCTTAAACAATGTACCCCAACCACTACTGTACAGCAGTTCCAATTGTCGTGGCGATTGATGAGAGAACCGATCCGAGCAGCCATGCATTTAAACGTTAGCAGTACGGCAGTACATATCCATATGGAGCTGCTGTTTGCGGGGCCGGAATTAATTGCCACGAGCATCCCGCACAACATCACCAAGAAGAGAAAGGGGCCAGATGCGAAGCGGGTGTGCCTTGTCGTACAGGGTTACTAGTGTTCGATCAACCCTCTGTATCGGCATTTGTCGTTCGCTTTCGACTCGTACGTATCTACGATGTCTATCCTAGCTAGTCCATGCGCTCCTTGTGCGTGTTGCAAATGAACGATCCTCCTACGATTGCTTGTGCCCCCTCCTTCATTCGCTGCTTGGTTACTCTGACGATGATACGTTGATAATTGCTTGCCCAATCGGCCGTCGCCTCTTGTCCTCGTGCATCCGCCAAGGGTGTCGCAAAGAAGCAGGTGAAGAAGCAGGTGAAGTCCACCCCTAAGAAGGTGGCGGACCCCCTTTTCCCCGCGAGGAAGAAGTCCTTCCGCATCGGCCGCGACATCCAGGTAACACATGCCTGACCATGACCGGGAGTTTTTCCGCACAGCATGGGCAGGAGGGGAGGGGAAACGCAAGGGATGCTGCTGCTGCGGGCTCCCGTGACTCCGGGCCTCCCACCCCCCTGCTCTGCCTGCTGTTGCCGAAATTGTAGCGATTGGCCAATCGCGATGACATAAAATTCTACGGCCCCTGGTGGCGCGGAAAAGAACACGACAACCGCTTTGTCTGTTGTTCATCTATTTTGTTCGTCTTCCCCTCTCCTACTGCCTCGCTTCCTTGGACAACTCGCGCTCCTCCCCACCCGTGACCCCACTCTATCGCGAGGCCCGCGTGTGAGGGGGGGCGCTATGGTTCGGACAGGAAGTGGGCGTGACGGGGGGGGAAGGACAAAGCAGACAGCCCCGGGTTACCAAACAATTCGAAGTTCCTTTTTTCGGGAAGGTTCTGAGAGATTCAAGTAGCGGCACTTCCCCGCGCCGTGATGACAGAAGTTGCGGTGGAACCTGCATGTTTTAGCGCTGTTGCCCCGAGCGTTATGATAATAAATCCGGTGGTGATCTAGGCAAGTCTTGGCTTGAAACATTGAACGAGTTTTTGATTCGTAAGAGAGCGCGAGGCCAGCCATCCCCGTGGGTCTGCAATGCATAGCGAACACTGTTCGCGTGCTGAAAGTGCACGAGGAAGCATTTTTGCCAGATCCAACAGCTGAAAACTGGCGGGTTTTGGGGGTGCATTTGTTTTTAGCATTAGCATGGAGTGGCAGTCTGATGCTGCTCCGAAAGAGACTGCATCCGTATGTCAATGGCGAAAAATCGGCTGTTTAGGATTGTGTTCTAATGTCGGCGTTGCGGTCGTCATGGTGCCAACCACACTGTATGCGTACATCGTGTAATAACGTTTTTAGATCGTGGTTTGTTTTAGTTCTTTTCTTTGACCGTTCTTGTCAGGAGTCCCGAACGCATTTCCCCGCTAATTCGGATGTTCCCCCTCCCCTGCTGTTTGCCCGCGCTGATGTTGCTCCCCTCACTCGGCTGAACGTGCTTGTGCTCCCTTTCAATATACCAACCCGTTGTCTTCTGTTTATTGCAATAGCCCAAGGTGGACCTTTCCCGGTTCGTCAAGTGGCCGAGGTACATCCGCCTTCAGCGTCAGCGCAAGGTGAGAAGAGAAAACCGAAGCTAGGATGGTTGACTTGTTCGTCACATGAATCACTTTTCGTTTGGTTCGGCCAAAAGAGAAATTACTTGGTCCTGGTACGAAATTTCATGCAGGTAATTGTGGCTTGACTGGAACTGTAGACCATGGACAATTTGCTATTCGTTGTTGTGCGCAAAGACGCACGAGAAGTAGAACTACCCGATGTACACCGCAGATACATCCAAGTGGCAAACGTCGCCGATATGAACCTGTTGCCGACACGTGGATGCGAGGCTTGATACCAAAGTTGTGTAACCATACCGATGACAACTCACGCAAAGCGGTATTGGTGGGTTCCCTTGCTGAAGCGTAATAATATCAATCCGTTGCCTTCAGCATAGCAGGGTTCTCGTAACGGGAAAGTAGTTTTTTCGCCTCTACCGAGGTTTTCATCTCGCTGTGCCCCGATGTTGCCGCTACTCTCGACGTCGCTGTGATCCCCGCCCTCACGGATGCGGATGTTACCGTTGGCGACCTGATGTTGATGTCTCGACGGGCGTATAGTGCACACAACTTACTCGTGGCCCTGTGTAGTTGTTGCTTTCCGTGGTGTCTGTCGCTTGTCACGGTGCCCTCGTGCCGTCGTGAAGTTCTCGGCTGCACGGCGCAGGCCGTCCCTTGACACGACACATTGATTGGAACGGTACCGTTTTCTACGTTATTTTCGCTTCGTGGTGCCCCCTCCTTTCATAGATCCTGGTGCAGCGCCTGAAGGTGCCCCCGAGCATCAACCAGTTCAGCAAGGCCATCGACAAGAACCAGGCCACCGAGCTCCTGAAGGTGCTGATGAAGTACCAGCCGGAGGACAAGAAGGCCAAGCAGCAGCGCCTCAAGGAGATCGCCGCCGCTAAGGAGGCCGGCAAGGAGCCCGCCCCCTCGAAGGCACCCAAGGTGTGGAAAACCTGTTCATTTTATTTTCAAGTGTGCGATCGACTCATGCGACTGCATGGGTGACGGCGCTTGCTCTTCTTTGTTGGCGGGAAGCATGACACATCCGATGTGTAGGATGGGTTTCGTGCTAGACTTGTCTTCTTCCGCGTGCATGTTTGGACAGACGCTCGTGTACCAGGCCCCACTCCTTCCTGCGGTGCGTTGCTGTCGTTCCATCTCTCAGGTGATCAAGTTTGGACTCAAGCACGTGACCACCCTCATCGAGGAGCAGAAGGCGTCCCTTGTCGTGATCGCGCACGACGTGAACCCGATCGAGCTGGTGGTGTGGCTTCCCGCTCTCTGCAGGAAGATGGGCATCCCCTACTGCATCATGAAGGGCAAGGTGAGCAGCGACGGAGGGCTACTTGCAACGTGTATGCCAAATCCCACGTTTTTTTTGCCATTTCTGGTAGATGAGTGAGATTTCCACTCCTCGGAGTGTAGGTTCATGCAACCACCCTCCAGAAACAATCAGAACGGCTCTCGTCTTCGCTGGTTTCAGTAGGTGAACAACCGAGGGTTGCCAGCATTCATCCTTTCAAAAGACGCGTTCGTGTTGTTGGTGTCCACCGAAAGTCATGCCCCTCATCATATGTGCTGGTACACAAAGGCACAACGTATGGGGGCTCTTGAGAAAGTATCACACACGCGAATCAAGCTTGCTGTGTGTAGCTTTACCCTCAGAATCTTCCGCTATACCAAATCCATCAACTCCAAGTGCAAGACGATTTCCATCATGGTCCAAAAGTCATTGAGGCATCAACGCATCTCCCAAGGTTTATATAGCCTCATTCCCCCTCACGTCCCCCCACTTGCCTCCGTTTATGTCCTCCCTCCCGCCCCTGCCAGGCTCGCCTCGGTACCCTTGTGCACCAGAAAAATGCTGCCGTCATCTGCCTGACGACCGTCAACAAGGAGGACGAGTCCAAGCTCTCCAACCTCAAGTCGAACTTCAACGCGCAGTTCAACGAGGGCTTCGTCAGGAAGTGGGGCGGCGGCGTCATGGGCCTCAAGACCCAGCGCAAGCTGGAGAAGAGGCAGAAGGCCATCGAGGCCGAGCTTGCCAAGAAGGCTCAGTACTAAGATCGACCCTCTTCTGGCTGGGACTGGTTTTTGATGCCATGAGTATTGGTTTTTTCTCATTGTCCGATTTGGCTCCTCTATGATGTTTCCCTTGATCCCAACAAGAGCGGAGGGCGATGGGGTGCATCATGCGGGGAGTTCATGGACTTCCTTGGATACAAACAGGGCGTTGGTCGAATGTGGGAAGGGGAGCGGTTGCTCGAGGCGACGTGATTCGGCGCGCACGTGGGGCTTGGATGGGGCTGAAAAATAATTTTGTCAAAACACGAATTGCTTGTGGGTGCTCACCACCACAGCCGCTTGCGGCGGCAGAGCACATGTTGTCCGGTTGCAACACCAAACCGTCCTTTTCCTAGCACAGCGGAGGCAATCTGAGGTGTTTTCACGAAGTATGATGCAGTCTACTACCCATTAGAGCCCACGATAATGAGCCGCCTGATTGCGTTGCCCGGCAACGAAATAGGCTCAATGCGTCAAAAAAATTACGTCCGTGAGAGCCTTGTGATGATTTTTCTTACATGTGTGCCACACTCCCAGCCTCATACAACTTGTACCACATACGGATTTGCCATAACAAGGAACTTGCGTCTTCGACCCCGATACGCTCTCCGAAGAGATCTCATCGTTTCTTGAAATTGTCCCACGTTTTCGTTCACTGGGCCTCCGAACCACTGCAGTATATCGTTTTTTGCGAACACAGGCCGTCGTCGAGGCATCCTCCCGCGTGTTGGCACCAACGCCCGGGGGTAGGCTCTAGTTGACGAGCTTACCCTGCAGTGTCTCTTCTGTAGGTCGCAACACGCGCTAGCACCACCCGACAACCAGTCTTTGTCGAGCCAATCAAAAGAGCACATCCCAGAGGCGCCACACACCGCGCGCAACACCACACGGCGTTCGCGGACACGAGACACCAACTTTGTACATCATGGACGTTACCAGCACAGATGCTTCCAACCGTTCCGACGGCAGGCACAGCCAAGGACGGGCAAGACAGATTCCTTGTCACGCTCTGCGCGCTCACGCTCCCCGGGGTGACATCGCTACTCGTCAAGCCAACCCCCTACCACTCCTCCCCCATGCGTTTTGTCGTCCGTTGTCCATCCTAGCTCCAGGCACGAGCGATTCCTTTGCTCGCATTGTTCACTAAACTTCACGTGCGTGGCGTGGCTCCTCTCTAATCCATTACCCTCTCCCGCCGAGCCATTTCTCGCCAACCCAATGTCCTGTCTACACCGAGTGCATATCGTTTCACCCCTCGACTATCAACTCTAGAGAGATCGCACCCTGCCATCACTCCAACCCCTTTCCCGACCGTGCTTTACGTCGTAGTTTACAATCTCGCGACCATGCGAGCCCTTGGGTATAGCTTGATTCCTTACCTCGCGTTGTTCACAACGTAACCTTCTTCCAGCGATGCTACCTCTTGTTCAGGCGACCTCCTGACTAGACCGGCTAGGTTTCCCTGCCTCGCCGTCCTTCGCGAAACGCCCTTTCTTGCGCCGCTCCTTTCGAAACCCGTCTCGTCTATCACCGATCCTGCCTACCCGTCGATACCGTTTCCTTGCCTTGTTGATTCACTCTCACTTGCGTGGCTTCCCGGCCATGTCACCTCCGTCTTCCCAACTCCTCACAAGACAATATTCCTTTGCTCGTCTTTATTAGGATGACTGTCTCATGTGAAGGGTCCCGCTTGGCCAAAAACGCCCGTTGCCCCACACCTCTCCCGCCATGCCATTTCTCGTCCAGGCGGCCTCGTGGCAAGACGGGCTCCTTGCCTCGCCGTGTTGATGCAAACTTCAGCGTCGTGCATACATACCAGAACCCCTTCTCCGACCCGTCCACAACAGTCAGTCCCTCTCCCTTCCATCCCAGCCCATCGATACCGACGTTGCTTGCCTTGTTCATTAACTTCATCTAGGTGCGGACCCGCCTCATTCAACTGCTTCCACAAGCCTACTCCAGCCATGTCATGTCTCGTCCATCCTCCCTTTGGCTAATCAGAGACCTTGACTCGCGGTGTTCACTTCGAACTGTTTCGTTTTCCTCCCTCCCCGCCTTGCCCCCCTCCCCCTGGTCGTCGGCGTCCTTGCCATCGGGGCTGGGTTTTCGTCGCTTGGCAACGACGATGTAAAACAAGCCCCCCCCCCGGTGTTTCCCCCCCCCCTGGTGTTTGCCATCGGAGTTGGGTTTTCGTCGCTTGGCAACGACGTTGTAAGACAAGCCGCCCCCCCCCGGTGTTTGCCATCGGGGTTGGGTTTTCGTCGCTTGGCAACGACGNGGCGTGCTCCGTCCCGGCTTTGTAGGGATGCGAGGTCAATGGTCTAACGACTACGGCATGCACGACTATGAGTACACCCCCCCCCCTCCCGGTGTTTGCCATCCTGATTGGGTTTTCGTCGCTTGGCAACGACGTTGTAAAACAAGCCAATTCACTTCGTGAACTCGGCAACCAGGTTACCGTTTTTTTTTTTTACCTCCGTTTTTTTTTTTGGCGGTAACCATAATGGTGGTCGAGTAGATCATGTTGTGCGGGGTGGAGAACCCTCACTCCGCGCAAGGGGGATGATCGCACCACGTTGTGTTAAAATCAACCCTCACACTCGAGACAGTTACACAGTGCTTACAACTGTCTCTGGAAGTGAAGTACCAGAAAATGAATTAGGTCATACGCAGCTGTCATCCGTACGCAAGGAAGTAAGCACAAGATGCAGAACACCCTTAGCAGGATGCAGCGCACCCTTCATGCGACTCGCCGAATACCTCACGGCGCTTCGCGCTTGGTGATGTGATAGCCTGGTCCGGTGAGAACCCGGCGTGCTCCGTCCCGGCTTTGTAGGGATGCGAGGTCAATGGTCTAACGACTACGGCATGCACGACTATGAGTACACCCCCCCCGGTGTTTGCCATCGGGGTTGGGCTTTCGTCGCTTGGCAAGGGCGTTGTGAAACAACCCAAATCACTTCGTGACCTCGGCAACCAGGGTACCGTTTTTTTTCCTCTCTTTTTTTTTTTGTGGTAACCATAATGGTGGTCGAGTAGATCATGTTGTGCGGGGTGGAGAACCCTCACTCCGCGCAAGGGGGATGATCGCACCACGTTGTGTTAAAATGGTCAAGCACCCTCGAGGCACGTACACAGTGCTTGCAACTGTCTCAGGAAGTAAAAACACCAGAAAGTATGTTAAGTCATACGCACCTGTCATCCGTACGCAAGGAAGTAGGCCCACGATGCCGAACACCCTTCGTACGATGATCCGCACGCAAGGAAGTAGGCCCACGATGCCGAACACCCTTAGTAGGATGCAGCGCACCCTTCATGCGACTCGCCGAATATCTCACGGCGCTTCGCGCTTGGTGATGTGAGAGCCTGGTCCGGTGAGAACCCGGCGTGCTCCGTCCCGGCTTTGTAGGGATGCGAGGTCAATGGTCTAACGACTACGGCATGCACGACTATG